TGGGAGAACATTAGTTTTACATTCATCCTATCGTATATCATTTCATTGCCATGGTTACAATCCCCTCCATGCATCATCAACCAACCAAAGGGTATATCCTGTTGTAAATATTGCTGCTATGAACATTGGTGTGCATATATCTATTCATGTTATGGCTCGTATTTCTTGTGGGTAAATACCAAGTAGAAGAATTGCTGGATCATAAAGTATTTCTATTTCCAACCTTGTGAGGAAGCGCCCTATTGCTTTCCAGAGAGGTTGGACCATTTTGCAGTCCCACCAGCAATGCAGGAGCGTCCCAGTCTCTCCACATCCTCCCAGCATTTATTGTCCTCTACTTTTTTTATCTTTGCTGTTATTGCTGATGTGAGATGATATCTCATTGTTGTTTTGATTTGCATCTCTCTAATGATCAGGAACATTTCTTCATATGTTTGTTGGCTGCCTGGACCTCCTCCTTGGTGAAGTGTCTGTTCATGTTCTGTGCCCATTTTTAAATTGGGTTATTTGTCTTTTTCTTATAGAGGTGTTGTAGATTCCTATATATTTTAGAAATGAATCCCTTGTCTGCTGTGTCATTGCAAAAGATTTTTTCCCATTCTGTGGTTTCCCTTTTTACTCTTCTGGTGAAGTCTTTCGATGCACATAAGTTTTTAATTTTTAGTATGTCCCACTCATCTATTTTGTTTATGGTTGTTTATGTAGTTTTCAAAATGTTTGGTAGTCTGTGTATTCCCTGAATTAGTGCCCTTACGTTTGTCCCTATTTTTTATTGATGGCCTTCGTTAGTCTGGGATTCACATTTAGGTCTTTAATCCACATTGAATTGGTTTTTGTAGAAGGTGTGACGTGAAGGTCTTGGTTCAATCTTCTGCATATCGCTTTCCAGTTCTGCCAGCACCATCTGTTGAAGAGACTGTCACCTCCCCATGTGATATACTTAGGAGTTTTGTCAAAAATCAGTTGGCTGTATTTAGATGGGTTAATTTCTGGATTCTTGATTCTGTTCCATTGGTCTATGTATCTTTCATTGTACAAGTACGAGACTGTTTTGACCACTGTTGCCGTGTAGTAAAACTTGAAGTTGGGGAGTGAGAGGCCTTGAACCTTATTCTTCTTCTTAAGCAGTGCTTTGCTTATTCTGTGTCTCTTTCCATTCCATACAAAGTTTGTAATTGTTTTTTCCATCTCTTTGAAGAATGTTGTTGGAATCTGGATTGGGATTGCATCATATGTGTAAATTGCTTTAGGCAGTATTGACATTTTTACAATGTTAAGTCTTCCTACCCAGGAGCATGGTACATTCTTCCATTTTTGTAAGTCTCTTTTGGTTTCTTATAGTAGTGTTTTGTAGTTTTCTTTGTATATGTCCTTTGTTTCTCTGGTTACATTTATTCCTAGATATTTCATTCTTTGGGTGGTTATTGTAAATGGTATTGCTTTCCTATTGTAATTTTCAATGCTGTCGTTTATGGTATAGAGGAATCCAACTGATATTTGTATGTTGATCTTATATCCCACTACTTTGCTGAATCTTCTAATGAGGTCTAGTAGCTTTTTTTTACTGAGTCTTTGGTGTTTTCTACATATAGGATCATATTGTCTGCAAATAGATTTTTACATCCTCGTTGCCAATTTGGATGCTTTTAATTTCCCTGTCTTGCC